GTACTTACATTCTCTGGAACAGTTTCAGAAAACTTTACAGTAAATAGCAGCAAAGCAAGCATTGTTTTGCCTAAGCCATAAATTAGCTTGAGAGATAACTGAATGTCATTCTGAATTTCTTTAATTAAGTCAACCACTTAAAGGTGAAAATTTTAGAACATTTTTAGCTCACTCTATCACCCATATTTTTGTTGCGTTTTCACTCATAAAATAATATGTATGCTAATCACTACCTTAAGATGAATTTATTTTGTTTTGCATAAGTGTTCACTTTGTGAAAGAAGTTTAAATAATTTTTATGTATGTCAATAATGAAATAATATTTATTCCAATCCTTTACTCATTCGTTTAAGTCCTGTCCAATACAATACACTATATTGCTCATTAAATTTGTACGAGTCCAAACATGAGAGTTAAATGGTAGTAGTATTCAAGTACTGTTTATATCTAAAAGAAAGAATGTCTGCGTCTATCTATCCAAGGCTGGAGGACAGATGCTTAAATGGTATATTGTGTCATACAACCTCATGCAACTTTACATGGTGATATGTGATTGTACGGCGAGTGTCGTAAGGTGGATGGGGTCAATCTCCATACACTCCACTAATCACTTGAGAATGATTGGCCCATATGGTCTACTGCAGATTATTTAAGGTGCAACCCGTCCTCGGACAAGTCCATTCCATCCATCGGTCGACCCCACAAAGACGCATCCATACATTTTAACATGCTGTACATTCAAAACAGGGATTTTCTCAAATATAAATTAATATTATTATATATTAGCATATTGTGCACATTTAGGCATTGGTTAGGGAAGGTTAGGTGTTTTAAGTTCTGTTGGCGATTATTTGTACTGTATTACAATGTTGTGGTTCCGACAAAAGTCGTCAGTGAACCACTTGTTTTCGAAGTGTTCAGACATCATCAGTTGTGAGTCGTATGTAAACCATTTTTCATTCATAAACAAGGGGTTTGGCAAGTGCATTGAATGGACTTTGGCCTTTGTTTTTGAGGATGGGCTGTAAGGTGCTCCATATTATTCAAAAGCCCCATCCATTCACCCATTTGACACTAGACATATCTCTCAATTGTTTGCCTTATTTGAAAAAAATCGTGAGTCTCTTAGTTTCTGAAGGTAAAGACCATGCAGGACACCCAGGCACTAAAGATGCTGATCACATGAACAGACACAAAGTACCACAAGGGATAAATGTGGCCTTGTGCAAATTTGAAGAATTTTAGGAACTGATGAAAATTGTAAATCAAGATATTAATCAAGATGAAACAGTTTAATGTTAGTTAACATGACAATGAAAATGTTGTAGTGGATTGATTTCTATATTTTTAAGATGCTGCTGATTGATAAATTAGCTCAATTTGGAGCAACAAATTTTCAACTTAAGCGCTAAACTAGGAAATATTGAAACATATTGGTTAGTGACTAGATTAATGCAGAAAATGAGGTTATGCAACAATGGAATTCCATTCCTTAAATTTTTGAGTGTCTGCAAAATCTTATAATGGCAGTATTAACAGTACAGTATTTTCATCAACATATGCATGAGAGTAATTTTTTAGTGATGCGTTACAGTAACTGGGTCCTTTTCATTCAAACTTTCTATCAGGCCTTAGAGCCTCTTCTTACAAGATCCAACCCAAAGTCTTAGGCAAGTTATTAAAAACTGACAGTAATAGTCAATCCAATGGGAATGGATGGTAAAACAACACTAAACTAAACCATCACCACATGTACTTCTTAACTATACTGTATACACTTATTGCAAATTTACAACACGGATAACACTGTAGGTGTCACTTTCACACAGGACACTCCAAAAGAACTTCTGCGATATTCTGTCCCAGGAGTGCGAGTCCACTTTTATTTTCCATTGAACAATATTCAAGGTTTCCTTCCCTGAGCCTTTCTTCTACAGTACTCACGCTGGCGAGTTCACCTTTCTCAGCAATTCATGGGCCAGTTCTCCACAGTATTATCACAGTTTCAAAACACTACCTTGAAACTCCAGCAACACGCTGGCTGGCGTCCTCTGAAGGCTTCACTTCTATCAATCCTTAACTTAGACGGCAGATGGATGCTAATTCCATCAAGTAACACAACTGGACAACCCCGGGATATTTCTGTCCAATCGCCAATAACTCGCTGGTTACTACAGACAATTCATTGTCTCCACTGGCTAGGCCCTACTTGTTCCCAATGAAACAAGTCTTGTGTTCAGGACTGCCCTTGCTGGTCACTCCGGGTGAACTGACACTTGTCGACTAAGGTCACTTGGTCACTTCTGAGGAATAAAAATTGTACAGTATAGTTAAAAGGAAACAGGTGTCAGTAAAAATCACAGCCTTCCACCAGGGAACAGAAAATGAGGTCAGGTATGCTCAACAGATGGCACTGACATTGTCACATGATAATCTTTTCAAATCTAATTACAGTATTAGAGTAGTCTTGTGCTGATGAACCCCCTCCCTTTCCAGCCTGTTGTCGTCGTGAGGGGGCTTGGTGGGCGGCTGACAGGGTGTGATATTCTGTGGGACAGTCCTCTGGCCTTTTAAAGCCTTATGCTCCTGTTGCCATCTTCACTAATTGTGCTCGAAGCTATTTCCTCTTCCTTATGTTTAAATTTCCTCCCCTTCTCCTTTCTAATTGTCATTTCCCACCGACTTTTTTGCCATTCTTGATTATTCTTTTGGACATCATCTGTTTTTGATGCCTGGGTGTTTGGGGAGGCACACTCTCTCACCCGTAGAACTGTGTTACCCGACGTTTTGAGCGAGGGGACGCTTTTATTGTCAATCCTCGCCTTCGTTGCTGAACCCGATCTCGATGGACTGACGGTTCTTAACACTATCGCGCTGCCAACTTAGAGGTCACGCCCCCGGCGTGCGGGGGAGCATGCGGGCAAACGCCCTAGGTGACACTGAAATGTGTATACTCGTTTCAGTTTTCTCACCGCCAGCAAAAGTGGGAAGCAAGCAGGCTGGATGGGTGAAAAACTCCGCTCAAAAGCAGAAAACCCAGGTAGGGGCAAACCGCCCCAGAACTGCTAGCAGGCATCCCACACAGCCCCGGGGCAGAGCCGTCCTCCAAGCCCTCCGCCCTTAAAGAAAAGGATGAGTCTATGCGAAAGGCAGCAAGAAAGGGCCGCTGGTAAGACCCAGAAGCCTTGGCAGGAGGAACAGGCTTGAAAACCTCCGTCCCCAACCCGAACGGGGCAGCCCCCGAAAAGCGCCCGAGTCTCGGACCCAGCTAAACCCCGCCCCCGACCCAGAAACCCGCAGACGGTCCAAAGCCGGGAACAAGGAGGGAAAGGGGCGAACAGCACCTAACCAAAATGGGGCGGCCTTGGGGCATCCGAGTGGGAAACCAACCTAGCGTGTTGCAGCAACCTAACCTAGCTTGCAACACGGATGCTGCCTGTACTCTGAACAGTAATAACATCAGGAGAGTACTGGAGAACAAGCAGAGAATCTCTTTCGCAAGACTCCGGGTCAAGGTGTCAGTGACCCAACAGGCAACATGACGGAGGTAAAAGTGGCGACTGTCACCCGGAGACAAGGGCACAGCAACCAACAATCCCGTATAAGATGGGTTGGAACCCAGAAGACACATTTAATGGTCCACCGAGCCCAGACAGGGGTGTCCAGGGCCCATAGGCTGACTGCTACAGGAAGCCCGGGCAAGGTGTTGCTAACCGGTTAAGAAACCGAAAATAACAAGAGGGTAGATGATAGCACTGAAAACCCCTGCAACGTGTACAATCACGGGGGCCTAGCAGAGGGCCACCAAACACTACCAGTGGAACTATAGCCACACTGGGCAGACCCCCACTAGGCAAATGAAAATAAAAACAAAAGAAAAACCCTGTAAAAGTACACCGTCTCCAGAGGCAACAGGAACCGGTCGCCACTTAGGTGGCAGGTCGCGCAACACCTTGACGCCCTAACTAGCACAATACCAGTCCCTACCCAGGGCCAAACAAGGGCCCCAAGCCCCAGTTGGCCCCAAGGACGATGCAAATGCTGAGCAGCAAGAACCTCTACGGGAATGGTTCCCGAACGCCCCAGGGAAGATAACCCTGTCACGCAGGGGCAGTACTCACAGGGCGCTTAGGGAAGGAAGCCCCTAAGCGCATGTAGCCTTGGCACTGATGAGGCACTCCTGGCCACCGCACAACACAACACACGACAGTGAACGCCACACAAGGCAAACTCCGCCTAGGAAACTGAGGCCAGAGAAGCGTCTATCCCGGTTGACATTAGCTTACGAACTAAAGCTAGGCAGCCGGCGAGGTAGGTCCAGGGCGGGGAGGGCTGCGCAGACGATCGGCACGGCAGTAAAGTGTGATGTTTGCTTGTTTCCTTGGGATTGTAGGGAGTTTCTACCTCTCTGTTCGGTTTTTTGTTTTAGTTTTTTTACCACGTGGGGTTTGTTTTGTTATGCCTACCTTTCTGGGTGCCTAACCCCTGTCGATGGCAGATAAGGGAAAACCCCAACCACAAGAGGGTTTTCCAGGGCCATTGCTCCCTGAAACCTCTCTGAAGGGGCCAGGTTCTGGCGCTGGTCCCTGGTAGGTCTGAACTCCTTAGCTAATGTCCCTTTCTAATATACATTAGCCCGATAAGCTCCAGGGAGCCTCCGGGGCTCGCCCAGAAAATGGCGTTTCATTACATTCAACGCTGTTTTTTTTTGCCCGACTTCCCTGCCCTATTCCGGCCAAAATATGCCACTTACGATTTTTTTATTATTTTTCCCATGATCAGGGAACTCAAATGAACACTTTTATAAAACTTTTTTTTTTTTTTTTTTTTTTTTTAAATGCCTGGGGTGTTGAAAGCCAAATTGCCCAGACCAGCTTAGGGGTTAAGGGTTAAAATGTGCCATTTGTACCTAAAATATGTGTAAAGACTTGGCAAACTTTACTTTTATCTGAACATGAAGAGCATCATACAAAGAGGATGGCTAGAAAAGAAGCCGTTAGTAAAATTTGAGAATAATCTATTCATGAAATTACATCTTTCACTTTAAGGGCATCAGTACAACATTCCATAAAAATATTAATATTAATTTATAAACACTATATTAATACTTTTCTCAAGACAGTTTCAGCCCACTGCAAAGACACATGTTTGTCATGTTAAAATCAGCTGCTTATAATAATTATAAACTTTATGTAAATATTTACACAAACTACAATATTTAAAAACTCTGACTTAAGGCCTATTTAAAGTACAATATTTAATATTCAAAGTGGATATGAAAAAGAAACTATCAACAAGTAATGCAGTTATTGTAGCTATCTTCACATATACATTTTTTGAGGCTCATGGCTTGTACATTTGTGTGAATAATGCATGCCTGGCTAGAACCAACACTATCACAGTAGCCAGCTGTTGATACAACAGATATACAAGAGGAGGGAAAGTGTGTTAGTGTCCCAGTTGAAGTCTTAACCCATTACTACAATATTACTCCATTTACATGTCACTTATTCTCTTAATAAAATCTGAAACAAGCTAATCCTAAATACTGTATTAATATAAAAGCAACTGCAATATATTTCATAGGAATGTTAATCTTGTGTATATTTTTTATTTGTAAATTTTAAAAATCTGACTACTGTGTTAATATATGTATTTTTTATTGTATACTAAAACATTTAATTTATTTGTGTGGTTACCTTATCACTGTTTAAAAGTACATCTTTCTTTTGTGTTAATGAGCATACATTCAAGTATACAATGCACAAGATACACATGAGTATGTCATGGACACAAGTGAGATATGCACATATGCATAAAATAGATAATAAATAATTATGATTTTTATTTGTAATTGACTATTCTATGGCAGTGAGGTAGAAACTCCTCTCCAATAACATGCAAGACTCCATCCATAACCTGGTTCAGGTTAATACCATGTCTCCAATTTCTTTTTGAAAATCACAAATTCAAGAGAATACAATTTTCATTATAGCATTTCTTGACTTTTTGTCTTCAAAATTCCTTCCCCATGCCAATTATCAGTCCCCAAAGGCTCTTGATCTATGTAAGAAAATCCGGGCGGATTAAAAGCTTCCATAGGTTGCAACTCCTCACCACTGACTAAAGAATTTGTACTACCCTTTGCCCCCAGGTTCTTTGCACCAATATTATTTGTACTTGAGCTATGGGTGTTGGTGATGCACCAGCCCCGTGTCTGCTCCACCTCCATTGTCACTACCACAAACAACTCTTTGTCTTTGTTTCTTAATTCTTCTCGTAGGTAATTGATTAATTCTTGCTCCTGAAATTAAAAATATTAATGATCAGAAATATAATATTCTTCAAAATAATCAAAATACTGTACCACAGTATTCTGAATACCACAGAATTACACAAAATAATAATGTAAGAATCACTAGGGTATATCGTTTCATAATTTCATCATCGGCCTTGAGGAGTATAATAAAAGGAGAAAAAGTGAATTTATCATTCTCAACAACCTTTAATCCATTTTGGTAAGTCAGTAATTATCACTCACGCTATCCACTACAAATGATTAACTACTGTACTGTAAATTATATTTTCATAAAATAAAACTCACTTTCCCAATTATTTCTGGCGTTTCTAATTTTGAATCCAAGTTATAGTATATGCCTCTTATATTGCGGATAGCAATCCAGTGTTTGCGTCGTAATGGAAGCTGCACAGGTCCAAGGCGATACTCGGATGGTACATTTAGGATGAATCCAACTACTTTATCCAGTACAATGACTTGAGGGTCTCTGAAAAAGTTAATAAAAAATAGATATTATTATTTATTGAGTAGCATTGAATTCCCTGCAGCTATACGAATTACATGCAAACCTGCAGGGGTATTCAACTTTCAATTATCTACTTACCTGTGGTTTCATGGATTCTCATTTGGGACATTTAAATACAAGCATAAACCATACAAATTTTTATATTCACATTAAAATATAAAATTAACATTTTATATTCATGTTAAAAAATAAGGCAGATCATCTCTACTTCGATCAATGTAGATCAAAGGTGAAACATCACCTATCTTCAACAAGTTTTCAAAAAACCAGCGTTGAATATAATGAAACGCCATTTTCTGGGTGAGTCCTGGAGGCTCCCCAGAGCTATCCAAGCTGATATGGATATCCCTAACTTTGGCATCAGTCGATGTGGGTGGAGTTCTAGGCCAACTGGGGACCACGAGCCAGAACCTGGCCCCCCTCTGAGAGGCACGAGGAGCAATGGCCTATAGAAATGCATATGTGATTTTGGAGCATTCTATATCTGCCTTCAACCGGGACAGGCACCCAGAAAGGTAAGCACCCCAAAACAAACCCCTATTCTGGTTAAAAACAATGAAAATAGACAAACGAGTGGACAGAACTCTCTAAATGGAAACGGGCAAACAAGCATGACCTCACACGAGTTGCATTATGTTAATAAATGCCATGTTATGGAATGCGGAATAGGAAAACAGACCTCACACAACCTATATATTACGTGAGAAATCTTTAAAGAATTCTGATAAAGAGATCTAGGGGTGGTTCTAGATAGAAAACTATCACCTGAGGACCACAAAGAATATTTTGCGAGGAGCCTATGCCACGCTTTCTAACTTCAGAATTGTTTTTAAATACATGGATGGCGATATACTAAAGAAATTGTTCACAACTTTTGTTAGGCCAAAGGTAGAATATGCAGCGGTTGTGTGGTGCCCATATCTTAAGAAGCACATCAACAAACTGGAAAAGATGCAAAGACATGCTACTAAGTGGCTCCCAGAACTGAAGGGCAAGAGCTACGAGGAGAGGTTAGAGGCATTAAATATGCCAAAACTAGAAGACAGAAGAAAAAGAGGTGATATGATCACTACATACAAAATAGTAACAGGAATTGAGAAAATCGATAGGGAAGATTTCCCGAGACCTGGAACTTTAAGAACAAGAGGTCATGGATTTAAACTAGCTAAACACAGATGCCGAAGAAATATAAGAAAATTCACTTTTGCAAACAGAGTGGTAGACGGTTGGAACAAGTTAGGTGAGAAGGTGGTGGAGGCCAAGACTGTCAGTAGTTTCAAAGCATTACTGTATATGACAAAGAGTGCTGGGAAGACAGGACACCACGAGCGTAGCTCTCATCCTGTAACTACACTTAGGTAATTACCAAAGATGGTGTGAGACTCTAGTCAAAATCACCAGACTGGAAGACTAGAGGAGAAGACCGAACCAGCCCTGATATGGACTGGACCGATCATTAGAAGAGGCGGAGCCGGGGAAAAAACCCTGGGTTCAGACACCGAGCAAGCAGCGACTGAAACCAAGGCTGGCAAGGAACCAGAAGGAACGTCCGCCAGAGAATCAAGAACCCAAACCCGGCGAGCCGGGAAAGAACCAACCCAGGTGAGCAGATACGCCCCATCCGGGAGGAATCCCCCGGGGACCCCAAAGGGACCAACAAGGCCAATAACGGATGACAACGAGAAGATGCCACTTGCCGAAAGAGCCGAACCGTAGACTGCAAACAGCAAGGACAAAATGGAGACAAAAACCAAAGAGCCAGGGCCGAGGCAGAGGCCAACAAGGAAGTGAGCTCCATGAGCTGACACGCGAGACACAAAGCAAAAAACAGAGACACTGCAACCCGTAGGAGCAGTGCAACCAGCTCCAGCAGGGCAGAACGACGCACGCGACAGAGTAACAGATGAAGAGGACTACCCAGGACATGTACTGCACTAAGGCAAAAATGTACTGTCCGGCAAAGGAACACAAGGAAAAGGTCGTAGCCAGGGCTGTTGTCCTAGCTCCCCGTCTCAACAAAATGAAACAGTAGGGGCAGAAGTGGGTGATTGGAATCTACAGCCACCAGCAGACATTGCAACCCAAAAGCTGGTAGGGACATACAAGAAGATGAAAGCACTCGGTTCCACAACAGAACAATGAGGCTGTCCAATCGCAGGGAACTGAACATGTAGACAGTCCAACCTAGCACCAACACTAGTACTGTACTGTAAGCCAATTAGCACATACCAAGACACACAACAATGTGTAGTATAGAGGTAGGAAATGCAAGGAAAACGGAATGTACACGATCAAGTAATATAAAGACACACTCCAACATATACATTAGAGTGCAGCTAGACACTGAACGACTGCCAAGGAAGGAGTGACCAGAAAGCAAAGACTGAGTCAAGGAATGCGTGTCCATCTGATGTTCCATGGAACCCTTCCCCCACAATCAGGCTTTAGCCTTGGACTGAGGAGCATTGATATAAGCACATAGGAAGGCCATGTTAAGATGCACGCAAAGTGGTCAATCAACACGCTAAATACAACACCCAACACTCATCCAAAAACCGAGAAGCAGTGCCCAGCTGACAGTGTCACCAGACCATATACTCTTACTTGTAAAGCGTAGACACTATCGTATCACGACAGAGGTGAGCCATGTAATATTCTGGGAGCAACGCTAGTGGATCATGTCCAGAGATGTGTGAACCGTAGAGAGGAAGCAGCACCAGAACTAAAGAACTAAGTGTTTTCCCAATATATATAAAATCCAGAACTTCCCCAGTATCCAGGGGGCTATGACTGGAAAGAAAATGAGCGAGAGCGGCGTAGAACCCGCGATAAAGGACGCAGAGTAGATTGCGTAGATTGGCCGTTTTTTTTGGTTTTATAATAAATTTATTTAAAAAAAAAAAAAAAAAAAAAAAAAAAAAAAAACGGCCAATCTACTCATGAAAAACTCGCCAGACACCAAGCAGAACGCTTTGAAGGAGACCAACGTCGTCTATGCCTTTAAATGCCCACTTGGGGACTGTAAGCCCCAAAGAACTCAGTATATAGGCAAGACAACAACGTCTCTTTCTAGGCAACTAACAATGCATAAGCAACAGGAAGCCATCAAGGAACACATAATCTCTTCTCACAACCAGACCATCACCAGAGAAATCTTAACAAACAACACAGAAATCATCGATAGGTATGGCGATAGCAGGTTCTTAGACATCAGCGAGGCACTACACATCAAAAAAGTCAACACTAGCAATCAACAGCCAATTAATGCACAACTATATTCTACCTACTTCAAGACCCCGAACCAATTTGGAAGCAGCAAGAGGAAGTATGGGCCAATAGACATTCTGCAGTTACTTCCATTCACATATTCACTTACCCAATTTATACCCATTGTTTTGTGTTCTGTCTTGTGTGTGTCATCTCACTCAAAACTTTTGTACCATATCACCTCATCCAATATAGTATAAGTACAAAGAATTTATGTGTAAATTAAGTCTTTGAAAATGTAATACGAATTACGAAACGCGTTCAGGCGTCTGACAATTAAAAAATGAATTTTGGAGAATTGTTATTTTTATTACCACCGACAGTGAAGAAAAACATAAGAAATATTGAGAAGATTTGTGTTAGAATTATTATTCTTACCTTTTCGGTCATATTCAACAACATATGTTTACAAGAAAGACTGCTACCAAAATATACTAATACAGTATATATATACATATACACATACATACACATGAAAATAAAAATAAAGAAAGAAAAAGACAAGCAGCCGACTGGTGGGCAGAAAGCACCACGCCGGCCAGACAAAGAAGGCACCAAGACAGCACAAAAGCTGCACCAAAAGGCCCACCTCGAAAACAAAAACCCCAAAGCCCAAGCGCGACCACAACACGTGCCAAGACGCAAAAAGATCAGCTTGCAAGCCAGGAAGACCCTGGAACTCCAGAAGGCAGAACTGTGTCACATACGAGGTAACAAAGTCCCCTGAACCCACAGAGGGCTTTTCTTCTCAAGAGGAAGAAACCTCCGGAACGAAACTAAAGAACCCTAAGGAACCCGGAATCGAAGCCGGGGGAGCCCAAAACTACCACATTTGTTGGCGGAAATACACCACAGACACGCAAAGCGCAGCACCCACACAGAATCCCCAGGGAAACGGACAAAAGGGACCAAAAACCGAGGGACAAGGTGTGGGAGCAAGCATAAACAGACAGGGATACGTAGCCCAAATATCAGGGGCCCAGACCCAGACAGACAAAGCAAAAACCGGTGAAAAAACCAACACCCAAGCTTTCCCAGAGGAACAGAAGATGGGCAGAACATCCCAGAAAAACAAAGAAAGGCAACAGGAGGATAAAACTCCTGAAAGAGGTGAAAAAACTTATCCAAAATGCAAGCTTGCACACCCAGGCACCAGTAAACAAACTGCAGCACCGCCCTGGTGACCAAGAGGGGCAACTCGCAGAAAAGAAAATGGCCACCAGAACAAGGAGCCGTGACAGACGCAATAGATCCGAAAACACGCCTGCAAATGTGGGAAGGAAGCAGATGAGAGGGACGAAAAACCCCACTCAAAAGCAGAAAACCCAGGCAGGGGCAAACAGCCCGAGAACTGCTAGTGAGCATACCCCACAGCCTCGGGAACCCGCAACAGAGGCCCCGGGGCAGAGTCATCCTCCACATCCTCTGCCCCTAAAGAAAAGGAAGAGTCCAGGGGAAAGGCAGCAAAGAAAGGGCCACTGGTAAGACCCAGAAGCCTTGGCATGAGGAACAGGCTCGAAAACCTCCGTCCCCAACTCGAACAGGGCAGCCCCCAAAACCGCCCGAGTCTCGGCCCCAACTAAACCCCACCCCGACCCCGAAACCCGCAGACGGTCAGGAGCTGGGATCAGGGAGGGAAAGGGGCGAACAGCACCTAACCAAAACAGGGCGACCCCAGGGCATCCAGGTAGGAA